CAGCTCAGCCATCGCCCCACCTGACTCTCTCTACTTCTTTCCATGCTATGTATCCATCCTTTGAGTTGCCAAGCCAAGCAGCCAGCACCTTCCCGCTCAATAGCGGCCATAAAACACGGCCGCAAACCCGTGTCTGTTTTACTGAAGCAATTTAGCATGGCTCAAGGGCACAGCAGCAATATCTCTTTCTCCTGTCTGCCTGTTCAGCAGAGGCCCGGTGCGAGCTGCAGCTGGGGGGAAATAGTGCCCATTCTCACGTCCGACCCGTTTGACTGACTGCTCTATTTGGGCGCAGAAAGGATTGGGGCAGGCCTGACTGACTGGTGCTTAGATGCAGCTGATGACTTTGTCCGTGTCCACCGTTTGGCTCTTATACCCACCCTCCCCCCACTGTCTGTGTGACTGACCGGCACAGATGCTTTTTGGCTTGAGGAAAGAAAAAAGAAGGGGAAGGGGAAAAAAAACAGTTTGGGTTGTCAGCGGAGAAAATATTGCACAATAACATAGATTTCTTTCAGCCTCGCTTTGTGCCAGTGCGATTCACTCTTGACACAATCAATGGCTGCTATTGAGGTGATACAAAGCAAACATTTGCAAAGCTCAGCTAGCTTTTTGCTTTCATCTAACGCCCGCAGACTTACTTTTATACCAGTTTTTTTTCTTGCTTTCACCTCTAATACACCGACTGAGTTTTGAATAATACTCGAGTATTATTCAGAGCTGAAAGGAAGGAAGGGGGGTTATTGTAAGTTGGTGCATTAGCCGTGTTGATTCTCATTCACATTTACGACTGTCTTCTTCTTGGCACTTTTTGTGAGAAAACTCATTTCTCAGTGTGAGATATTTTATAGACGTGATTACAAGGCTCATTGATCAAATCCTTCATTCAGCATAATCTGAAAGGCTTACGAATGTTCGCTCATCTACACAAATATTTCTGATTGTTATGAGTCCTTTGTGATCTAAGAAGTGTTATTTAAAGGTAATCTTTGTTGGGTTCATGCTGCTTTTTTTGTGTGTTTCTTCTGAGTTTGAATTAATGAAGAAGCGGCACAAACGACAGAGTGGCCCGAGGTATACATGTGTACTGCTGTAATTAAAGCAGTACAGTTTTAATCCTGTAAAACAGACTCTGGATTCATATGCACTGAAACTTTGAGCGGCCTAGCAAAAAGTCAGAGTAATGTCCAACTGCACTCAAGTGAGAATAGCGAAGGTAATTAACCGTCCCGGTGGATTCGCAGCCAGCGAGGCGATGGCGTGTGTCCCGAGTCCTGTGCGCTCCACAAAGGCCGAGCATTTCCAGTGAGAACATGTCTGAAGTGCATTTGCAAGAGGACATGCCTTGACTTAACTCTCCCAACTCTGTCCAGAGTGAAAGCTGCCGTTCAAAGTCCTCACAGATAAACGCACCATTTTAAGTTCATTACTTTGCAGGTATTTTTGGTATTTTTAACCCTTTAAATTTCGTACAACTTTTAAACTAAGCGCTAGAACCCAGATGATCTATCGTCTATTTTCAAATAAACTGGGATCAGCTTTTATAATAGCTGATAAATTAAAATAAAAAAAAGTAAAGACTATACAGAAGAAACACCCTGAGTGCTGACTGGCAACACATATATGGGACAAAGTTGTTAGGCTTTTAAAAATATATTTTCTAATTAGTTTTTAATTTTCATTTAATTTCTAGCTTTTAATTAGGTTTAGTTTTTGTTAGTTTCCAGATTGGGTTTTCTAGTTTTAGTTTAGTTTGTATTAGTTTCTGGGTTTAATTGTTTTTGATAGATAGATAGATAGATAGATAGATAGATAGATAGATAGATAGATAGAACTGCAGTACTTTTTGAGGGCAGTTAACTCATTGTCATGTAAACATCTAACAATTCAGTAAACACATCAAAATGTCATCAAGACGACCTGTGATAACAATTTTTTACCAAACTGGCAGAGACATATTTGTATCATTTTTCCTCTACATCTTTACTTTGGTTACTTGAGTCACAAAATCCTTTCAGTTAGCTTTCATTATTTCAGGAATCTAAATTTCATTTTTGTTTTATTTAATTAAAATTGTTTTTTTTTCTTTCACATCTAGTTTTAGTTTAGCTGACTTTTACTTTAATTTTGGTAACCTTGTTTGAAATGCCACAAACAACAACTTGTGATAATAAAACCAGATTATTTTTAAGCCACATTGTCATAATATCTTAGTAAGAACTTAGATTACATTTTAAATGTGTAGCTATTTCTATTTTTTTATTTGTTGTGTCTGAAAAGAAAAATAATTATATATATATATCAGATTGTTAATTCACCAAATATTTGTACTGGTATTGATATCGGCCTTAAAAGCCTAATATTGGCAGGGCTCTACAAAGTCCCCGCAGCAGCACATAATAAAATTAATTGTGGAAATAAAGATCCATCTCATATCTCTCATATGAGACTTGTCTTAATTTATACAGGCTTTATTTTGTTTTTCTACGTTGTAATCTAACCTGTGTGTGGTTTTGTTCCTGTGTGCAGATCATTCAGGACCGTGTACTAGAGCACGCCTCCAGGAGTAGCCTGATGTGGAACAGTCACCCTGGGGGCCTGTTCGCTCTGCCGCAGTACTCTGGATACCTGGGAGACTTCCCCTTCTACTACGACACACTGGGTCAGTAGCCTTCACACACACACACACACACTCACTGTAAAGTGCTGTTACGCTTCTCCCACCCTGCATAGCCATTAAATTGTCACAGACTTTTTGAATAAAGACAGTAGATTTGTGTGCAGCTGTGGTTGTGGACTTTGCACAAACGCTAGAAAAACAGCCTTGGTCTACTGCCCTCCTCGAACGGCTGTGAATAGCAGCAAGTGGAGTGGACGAACAGGCCTTTGACGGATGTTTGTATTAGCGCTGCTGACACATCGCCGCGTCCATCATTGGTTTTTGAGTCAGCATTGCTACAGCTTCTGCCGCTGCCCGCTACGGTTCAGCAGCGTTGATTTCCCCCCCCCCCACCGCAATCCGCGACCCGGGAGCTGCTCCATCCCTCGCTTCTCCACTCCATCATCATCCGCTGCAAACGTCCCCACGTGCACAAAGTCATAGACGCCCAGAAAGCAACAGTGCGAATGCAAAAATGTGTCGATGTAGCACCTGAGGTGGAGCGGATATTAAAATGGATGGGCGCGGTGACAGGCATGGATTACAACACTGGCAAGTTTATTTGTTTGTCAAAGAGGAAGCAATTAAACACGGATGGGTTTTTAGGAGACAAGGTGGCTTGTCGCTGACGGGTAAATGAGTGAAATCAAAGAATGTGAGTTTGCTTCTAAGAGATATTTCTTCTTGTTGTCCAAGAGCCAATAACAAGACACACACAGACTCTTTTTCATGCAGCATATTAACACTCAGACTCACACAGCAGGAGAAGAGTTTGTTTTGATTGCTTTAGCAGAATATTCTTTTTAATAAGAAGCAGAAATAAGTTTGGGTTTTTTAGGATGATCATAACATGCATCTTTAAGAATAGTAATAATAATACCCTGAGCAAAAATACTCATCCATCTCTAAAAATTAAAATATCATTAAAAAAAGTTTCCTTTTTCATAATTTAACTAAAAAAATGTAATTAAAAAAAGTAAACTTTCATATGCTCTGTGTTCATATTCAGCACATGTAAAGTGGGTGTTTTTCGTGTTTATTCCAATGACTTTCTTTAAAGAAATCCAGTATCTAATATTATTAGAATGTTTAATTTTGGGTTTAACTACTGTTAAAGAAACTAAATACTGTTGATCTCTGAGTACATGTAACAACAATCATGGGGAAAAGTTCACTTAAGAATTTGGGAGCTCTCCACAAGGACTGGGTGGATGCTGATGCTGGTGTTGGGTATCGATTAATTTGTGTTAAGACAGAGAGACAATGTCAGATGATCTTACCTGGTCCTCTGTGTTTTATCAGGTCCAAAGTCAATGCAGCCATCTACTGGGATAGTTTAGAGCACTTCCAGCCTCCATCTGCTGACAGGCTTTATGGAGATTTCTTTTTCCAGCAGGAGTCCTGCCCACAGCACCAAAACGATTTACATGTACTTTTTACTCACCATGTTACTGCTTTACTGAATTGACACAGCAGAAAGAAAAGCATATTTATTATATTTATTTATTTTTCATTAGCTCACCTATTATAATTTTATTAAGGCTGAGTTCGTCATAGTATCGCCGTTGTGTCCGTTTGCATATGTATTTGCCTAGGAGAGAGGGATTTTCAGCCAACCGAAACTCCAAAATCCTAACAGGATGTTCCTTGACACGGATGACACTGTGCGTCAGTCTAATGTTGATTTGTATACAAGTGTACTCAAACAGGGGAGGGAGGGGCAGCAGAGTTCACCCAGAATGCAAGAAGTGTAACTGTAACAGTAAAAATAACAAAGTGAATATAAAACATTACCTCAGATACTTTGTTAGAATTGACGCGATTGCGCGAAACCTCAGTCGAGAAAAAAATAGTCACAGTCAATAGTTTTTATCTCTCCAGCTCGCTGCTTTGTCTCTCACTTTGGGTCCGGTAAAACTTCTGTATTGAGACGCACCGAAACACATCAATAATGTTTGAGCATCTCATTCATAAAAATATCAGCAGTAAAATTAAAATGGGCTTCTCTCTTCTGGGAAAGCTTTGGAAAGTGGCTGCAAGGATTTCCTCTCATCAGTATTATTAATGTCAGCCACAGATGTTGGTCTGGCTGTCAACCCTCATGTTTTGGATGGGGTTGAGGTCAGGGCCAAGACTCAGAAGCCAAACCAAAGTGGGACTGATGGGGCTTGACTTTCCACTCTGGGTAACAGGATAAACCTTAGTGTCACAAGATGATTGTTAGAGTAATGATAAAATTATGCAACAAAACATTAGTTGTTGTTTTTTTTTTTATTTGGGCTTTTGCTGTTTTGTTGTGAAATTTTGGCCAGTTTTGCTTTTTATGTCTTCAAATGTTTTATTTTAGTGGTTCTCAACACTTAAAGTGGGACAAAGATGACCACAGTTTGGAGTGAAACTTATGGTCTCAGTCATACAGGCAAGAGACCGGGTGGTGACTGCCTGGCAACCTCCAGTCACTAGTGAAAATGTGTCATCTCTGACCAGCTGGTGTGTGTCTGCCGAGAGCAAACTGAATCAATAACTTCCTGATTTCTTTGGTCGCTTGCAGATTGCCCCCATTGCCTGCATGAAAGACGACTTCAAACATTTGCTAACTAATCAATGTGCGGCACACACTGGAAACTGAGAACATTGCATATTACAGCTGCAACAAACACATTTCAGTAGCAACTTTTAATTTGAAGGGGAGCGATCTCCATTTACGGTTTGTTCAGTTTCACAAACACGAGAAGTTGGTGAGGTTTTACAAACAACGAGCTACCACGGCAACTTATAGTGACCAAAGGTTTTTCACCTAGCAACAGCCAGCAACCACTTGCCAACCAGTCAGGGAATACACATTTTTTTTGCCAAGTGTCCATAGTTGGGGTTCACAGACCAATCTTTAGGCCTGCTTGACTTGGGAGTAGCACTTGGTTTCGCAGCGACTGCCACAACAACCATCAGCAACCACTCGCAGCTGACCAGAGAATACTGATGGTTGCCAGGTGGTCTCCAACTGGTCTCTGAGTCCCACATGCGATTTATGTAGGAGAAAAACACAAACAAGAGTTTGCAGGAGCAGTCGCCTTGCATTTCTTTTTCTATAACATTCAAGTATATGTATATTTGTTTTTTTGCAAATAAAAGCCAAAGAAATTATGAATTACAGGCCTCATGCTGTTGTATTAAAACAATCCATAATTGGTAATTAGTTTAAAGTCTCGACTCTATCTAGTATACAGTCCATGCAGTATTTCTTAGACGAGGAGGGTCATTGTAAGTAGGAAACTGCCTCAAATTGCTGAATCAGTCTTTAATCTGCCTGGCGTACTGCTTTAAAGTTTTAGCCAAAGAAATGTGTAATGTGCTGATGCCGGATGAGATAAAAGCCACTGAGCAACATGTGCTAAGAGGCAGAAAACAGCATGCACATTCAAAATACAGAATATGCTGCGTGATAATAATCCTGCTCCTTGTTTTCTTCAATGTTTCATGAAAGTCTGTTTATGAGCTTGTTACAGTTTTACATCCCTAGGTGTTAAAAAAGTCGGCAGTCTCTCTACTTTTTATTACAAATCTAAAGGATAGTTTACCAAGTTTGAACTATATTCCTCTTCATAAAAGTTGCTCAGTGGCGGAAAGGAGACTCATCTAATGCTGTCTCGTCCCCGCCATGCTTTGCTGCCTTGGATTAGATTAGATTTAAATTAGGAAAACTTGGACGTCCTCTATGATCCGTCTTGCTCAATATCTTATTTCCTCCTCATTTTCAGCCTCAATTACTCTATCAAGTCAGACTGAATTTAAAGTCACATCAGCAGTTAGCAGTCGTGTGTTTATTGGGTTGCTGATACAGCTGAGGAGTTTTTAAAATGAAATATTCAGTGATCAAAAGATCTGGCATTTTCAAAACACATTAACAATGTTGAATATTTTAAGAGGGGTTTGAAAAACTTCCATCGCTGACAATTATGTAATCTGTGCCACTGAAATGCTGACATACTGGTTTTAAGGAACAGCTTTCACTGAATATAGATATGAGGTGTTTGGAAATGCAGAGCTCTGGTTCTCACTCGGCTTTGCTCTTTTCAAAAGCCTGAAATTGCATTGATGGGTTGACAGTCTGTTCTTTTTGCTGTTTTTGTTCAGAAATACATTGAGTGTTTTCTGTCTGTTGCGTTTCAGGTATTAGACCGTACCCGAAGTTCACAGCTGTCATCCATGCCGTCTCCCCTCTGGTGTCCCAATCCCAGCCCATACTCAAGCTCCTGGCGGCCGTGGCCAAGTCCCAGTACTGTGCACAGGTACACCATTTGTGTGTTTGTGTGTGTGATTGTTCACTCATTATCTCAAGAATCCTCCACTCATCTCCACCGCGCATCTGCTAAATTGTGCCGTGTTATGCGGCTCGCTCGTACGGCTATTTTGCAATCGGATTTTCCAACCAGGGCAGCAGCAGAGCTCATCCTCCATCACCGTGTGCTTGTGTGTTAACTCCGGTGGATTGAATTAGAGCAGCAGTTTGTAGCGGTGCTACATCTGTCTCCATGGCAGCCAAACCCCCTTCAGCACAGCTGGAGATGGCATGTATCGATTCCCCTGCTTGCTCCTTACTAAAGCGGGAAATGAAATGGAATTTGCTCCCTGATGGCTGGTTTTTGTGTTTGCCTGAGTGTGTGGGTGTATATGTGTGTGTGTGTGTTTTTTGTTTGTTTCTGCGACCAGCAGAATGTATGACCAAGTGAGTTTGTATTTTGTGTAGGAGGAATGCATTTTGGATAGTAGTACATGTGTTGGTACAGGATTGCAGGGCATGTTAATTGTATCTTTTTGTTTGCTTGCCATCTTTAAGGCACTTGTTGTTTGTAATTATAAAGCCCACTTGCATACATGCTGTAGTTAAGGCATGATGTAGCCTGGATCACGGTTATTTTCTCCTGGAAATATCGCTCATCGTGAATCACTCTCTTTCATCTAAACATGTTGATTCTACATCTGACCTTATTCACTGATGCCTTATGGCCATTTTTGCCCGTATCTGTTACTGTGATCACTGCCCCACTGATGGACACAACAGCTTGTCTAAAATAAATAACAGTTTATTAAAATCAGGATTTCTTAGCTTGTCCATCCATCTTCTTATATTTATCCAATTCAGGGTCATGGTGAGACTGGAGTCTATCCCAGCTGTCATAGGGTGAGAGGTGTGATATACCCTGGACAGGTTGCCAGTCTGCTGCAGGGTTAGGGAGGCCATTAAGCTTGCTGTTCTCACCCTGGCAAACGGCACTGTAAAACAAAAGATGTGTCAGATCCATCAGCACAAGCCGGCCGGTAGTGCATCTCTTGATTTTTGAAACCTCACTCGTTGTGCCGCCGCAGCCAGGTTGAAGACGTGAGTGTTTACAGCCGTGTTGGTTTTTACAGCTGTTTTAATGATACATGGGTACAGAAGCTCTGAGTTTGAAACTCTGAGCTTTTGTACCCATGCATCATTAAAACAGAGGAAGATGTCGCACCAGTTTCAAAAGATGAAACTTTTTGGAACAAAGTTTTGAAAGACTTTCAAAATAAGTCTAATTTCTTTTCCTTTGTTTCTCTGCTCTAAATTCCATTTAGCTCACAAAATTGTACAAATATTTTTCTTTAATATTTTTGTAAATGAAAAATACACCTCGAACATACACTGTGAAAAACGTTGATTGTCATGTGTATTTATTTATAGCCTGTACCACAGTTAAATTACAGAAGCTGAGCCCAAGTGCTTTAGAGTCAGGCATGTTTACATTCAAGGTGGCCAAAAAACACAGAATACATGAAAAACTCAAAGGTGTCTTTTGTTGCGTTAACTAATTATCATGAAAAGTTAAAATCTCAGTGATGTAGTGCAAAGTGTCCAATTTGCAAACTGGACACTGCTCTCCCCTACATAAGCTGCCTTTATAGGTGAGAAGTATCAGTATTGGCAATATTGGCCCAATATTTGCAGCTGAGCTGACAACCATTCACTCACACATTCACCCCTGTGGCTAAGTTAGCTGGAGAACATGCAGAAAGGCTCTGAAAACACAAGTAGGGCTGTGCGATATGACCAAAATCTCATATCCCGATATAAGAATTCTAACGATATAAATCACAAAAATGTAACATTTTCTGTAAATTCTGTGAATCTCGGGCAGCTCGACTTGCGGGAAGTGCTTCCAGCTGCGCGTCATGTAGCTGGAGTCGAGTGTTTTAACCGATGCATGAAACTACACATTTTTAGACATAAGTTGTAACGGCCGC